TTTTTTTTTTTTTTTGATGTTCTGTTCACTTTTATTCGTTCTCTTATATTTCCTTTTTGTAATGTGAGCAAAAATTATTTTTTTGCACGAAAAAAACAACATTGTTTTGTTTTGTTTGCGCAGTTTTACCAATTTTTAATTAATTTACGTTAAAATGTTTTATACAAGAAATTGATTTACTGTGCAAATTTAGACAAAAAAATTTTTGTTTTGTTCTCTTCAATTTCATTTGCTTTTAAGTTGAATTTTTTTTTTTTCAATTCGATAAACTTGTTGACTGCTGTTTACTGTTGATATTTTTTACCGTCTTTTATATATACAAATAATAGTGTGGTTGAGTGAAGAAGAATGGTCTAAGAAAACAGCTGAGGTACAGCTAACAGTTATCTGTGCTTAATCGACTTGTCAAATTATTATATAAGCTTTTTTTTCTGATTGTTCGATACGGCAACAGCAGTGACGGTAGTAACAGCATTAGCAGCGGTGTTAATAGCAAGTGATCAGATGTGTATCTTATATTTTCCATTAAACAGACTGTAATAATTTTTTACTATCATTTCCATCTTCACCATTTTCACCATTATCTGTAACTCGTTTTCCATTTTTTTTTTTTTGCCCTTCTATAATCCAATTATTCATCTATGTTATCGCCATCGATCGAAAATGTGAAAAAAAAAGAGATAGAAGAAGGAAAAAGGAAGAAGATGAAGAAGAAGAAGAAGAAGAAGAAAAAGAAGGGAAGATGGGGAGGGAAAGGAATAACCAAATAAACAAATTAAGGAAAATACCAAAAAAAAAAAAAAAAATACCGGCAATAACAAAACACTACATCATCAGATAGCTTTAACCCAAAAACAGCACCCCATACACACACATCAGATGCATACCACTGACACTCAACCATTATGGCTCTCTATTTTAAATTGCAAAAAAAGCAAACATTGCTCGGTTTGCCCTAGTAATTCTATCTTCGTACACCGCTGTACTACCCAGTCCCCCTACTATTTTTTTTTTGCCCAATAAACAGAAAAAAAGTTTAGGATAAAAAATGGAGAAAAATAGTTTTGTTAAATTTTAAAAGAGGTAAAAAATTAATGAAAAAAAAGTCTTAAATAGTTGCCCTCCTAAAATACTCTCATTCCTCAGCTGTTACCGACTGACTGTATAGCCATGGCAATAGCACTACTTTACTTAAACAGTGATGACAAAACTTACCAAATGAATTGTGCTAACGTTCATTGATTGTAATTTTTAATTTTTTTTTTTCAAATTTTATAAATGTTACTGTCATTTTTAACAGACATCAACTTTTTTAATGTTTAATAAAATTAGAAGGAAAAACTGAAGGAAAAATGTCGCGAAAACCTAAAAGAAATGTAAAAATCGAAATCACTATGCTACTAAATCAATTAGTTGCATAACAATTTTTTCTTATTGATACACTTTTCTTATTGATAAACTGCAAATTTTTGATTTTTTTTAATCCATTAACTCTCCACTGATTGAATTTTGTTCTGTTAATTCTTTAATGATCACTGTCTTTCAAGTGTGCAATTAGAAATTGCCTCTTTCTAAAAGTCTAAAGCCCAGCTAAAAACTATTTGCTTCATTCGCAGTCAACGTTAAGAGAAAAAAACAATTTTTCTTTAAAAAATATTCTTTGTAATTGCTGCATTGAGTTACCTAAAAATCTTCTCTTCTTGGTGATTTCATAGTGTCCCAGTGTTAGATCATAAAATTCAGGTTTAGTGCTCCAAAAAGCAGAGTAGTTTTGTGCATTTTACGAACAAACCGAACAGACCGTGTGAAAACCATCAGAAAGATCCGAAAAAACATAAATTTCTAAATTCGATTACCAATCTCAACTTAAAACTCATTACTGAACTTCATTCAGGTGTAAGAAAAATTTGCAAAAAAAAAAGAAAGAAAAGGAAAAAAAGTGTATTTGTTTTGTTGCGATAAAATTAACCTGGAATAAGTTTCAGCTTCGTCGGCAGACTCGGCGACTAAAATGTGGCTCAGATCAAAGGTTATCTTTGATTTACACTAAATTTAAGCAAATATACAAAAGGCACAGATGTTTTTTAGTCCGCTTATTTACTCAGTTCATCAGGTTCAATGGAAGTCACTTATCAAATACAATAATAAATTTAAAAAAGAGCTATAAAAAAAACCGTGTATGAAAAATCTCTTTTATTCACGTTCAGAACTATTATAGTGCCAAGTGTGCTCATTTCTGTATATACGCATAAATACCAAAAGATAAAATATAAATTTTATTTATGTGTTATTTTTGACTCATCAAGTAATAATGACAGTAATAATGGTGATAATAACGAGCACCATCATCATCATAGTCATCGTCATCTATCAATAAACTGAAATACAATATAGCAATAATAACTCTTTAAAAACTCTTCCGAGTTTTTTTTTTTTCAATTTACGTTGATTTTGAATCTACCACAGCAAACTATCAAAAAAATTAATCATAAAGAAGTGAAGAAGATAATGAACAAGGCTAGCAAATGACAAAAAAACATGAAATTGTTGCATTTATTTTTATGCAATTCATATACATTAGTTCAAAAAGAAAACTGGATAAATAGAAGTACATAAATTGACACGCACATATAACCTAAGTAAAAAAAAAAAGATGTAACTGCACTTTTGTTGGTTTTTTGTTTGTTTATTTTTTGTTTCCTGGTTTGAGTTCGTCTGTTCTTCCTTTTTTCTGTTTATCGGCTGAGTATATCAAGTTTTTTTTTTGAAGGTCAAATAAATGCTCAGTTGATTACTGGGTACCCAATATCCAGTGAAGCTGAAAAAAAGCAATATTATCAGCACCATTAATTTGCTATTTTAAAGATTAAAAATTCTTGAAAAAACGATTTCTTATCAGCATTCTTTTGACTTTCTGATAAATTGGTATTTTTATCTGATAAACAATTTCCAGCTTTAATTTACTATTAATTCCAGTGAATACTGATACTGTAAAAAGGTATACGTATAAGTGTAGTCCAATGAACTACTTTTTTTACAGTGAGACCTATAAATTTCACTTCCTATTCGTTTAGAAAAAAAAACAGAGACTAGTAGTGTTATCAATTTAGCTAGAATTGTTCCTACAGCTTCCATCGTTTTAGCTCAATACTACAACATGCAATTTTTTTGTTTCAACTGTTTTCACTAAATGACGAGGAAAAAGAAATGATAAAAAATTTACCAGGATTATAATTATTTTGCATACAGCCATCCGTATAGTTGCCGATAACATTTTGAAAATGACTGCTTGGTAAACCGGTTACAGCAAAATTATTGTGCATCGACTGTAATGGATACCAACGTGCTTTTCCATCAAGAAGACTAGGCTCTGAAAAGACAAGGCTTGAGCATACAAAATTTGTTATTGCCAAGCGGCCACTGTAAAGTGTAACGGTAGAGTAAATTATATAGAGAAAATTACAAGGAAGTATTGCTCAACTGTTTTGCTCTTGTAACATTAAATTTCTGACCTCTATTCTCACGTTTTTTTTTTGGTTATAATAATTTAACTATCAAAACATACCTGAAAGACTTATAATGACTTGGCCCAACGAATTACTTTCATTTAATTTATCGTAATCCCATACAGTAAATTCTAAATAATGACTACGAAGATCACGAAGCGGTATATTATATTCTACAATCTGATTCCATACTGGATCAGCGGTATTTGAAACAAACTTGGTACGCCGTTTGTTACAAACCCTGTAAATGTTACACAACTAAGTAAAACAAAATTTGAAAAAGCAAAAAAAAAAAAAAAAAAA